ATTAACAAGAGGTCGGAGGTTTAAATGCAACCAGTGCCGTGAATATTTGCATGTTAAAATAAATCCATACAGTGTCGCAGAATATCGATACGGTATCGAGAAACGATATATTGCAATATTTCAGTTTATCGATATTTTCTCACACCCATCACAGGCTGTGATCTGTGATAAACATGAACTTGTCATACATTTGATCAGGTTCGTAAATGTAATTCTAATTAAACAGCAGATATTCAACTATCATTTTCTAATGGAAGAGGAGATTCAGCCCTGCTCTCTGTCTGACAGGAACTGTTGCTGTTGTTAGTTTTTCAGCAGTTGCACTTCCTCAAACAACCACATGACTCTATCTGTTTATTGCATTAACACTAGTGGTCTACGTTGACCAAACCTGAAAAACCAGTCTGGATTTTAGACCCCCACATCCTCAGTTGATGGGGGGGGGGGGGGGGGGGGGGGGAGGTTAACATTCAACCCACTGAGACCCCAGACTCTCACACACAGAAACCAACAACATCCATTATTATCATTAAAATACTGACTTTCTTTTTTGCTGTAAATATTGTTTTTATTTGCCCCAAGCAAACACACTCTCTGAATTACACCAGTCTGATGGTTTTTAGTCTATTGTTACTTTTTAAATTTTTAAGAAAGGTCAAAAAATAAATCAATAAAACTGAAGAATGAAGATTGAAAACATGACCAAGAAACTAAAAAACAAAACACACTTATTCACGGATGACTAACGTGTGATAGAGGAGCAAAGGTCACGCAGTTCAGAGTGAACGTGTCTCAGATTGATAGGAGGGTTTTTACTGTCTGTACTTTGAGCTTCAACAAGTACAGTATGCCACACTGGACTGTAAATCCACAGCTGCTGCTGCTGCTGCTGCTGCTGCTGCTGCTGCTGCTGCTCTCTGGTTTGCCAGCACACCACTAACTAATGATCAGGAAATAACTGTGGTTCACACTCACTCAATAAACACACACATTTATAGTCCTGGTTGTTTTTCACTCTGCAGTCACTGCATTCCTCCTCTCACCTTAACCCTCTCCTCCACTGGACACAAAATAATCCCCTACTGTTTAATCCCTTAAGGATGGCGGGGGGTGTGGCGAGGGGCTGCAGACAATCCCAGAAGTCATCAGGGGAAGGCGGGGGTAACAGCACGAACACAACCATTCACTCACAAAGTTACTGTCATATTCACACCGATGATCACTTCAGAGTGAACATTAAGCTAATGGATTGTGGAGGACACGCCAAACACACAGGGACTCGAACCAGAGACCTAAGTGCTGTAAGGCTGTAGCATGTTGCCCACTATTGTCCAAATAAATACCATTTTAATAGTTGTTTCGCTGGAGTCTAAGCTCAGATGCAAACTGTTTTAGGAGGCAGCCCCCTCCCTCCTCCTCTCCCCCCCCTCCTCCTCCACTCCCTCATGCTTAGACCATAAATGTTTAATTAAAGCCAGAACCCGGGTCTAAATAAAGAATCGACTCAAACCTCCCTACAAACGCCGGTGGATGGACATCAGCTCCAGCAGGAGTTAAACCAACACACACTCAGGTGAGAGCATCACAGTCTGGCATTCAGCAGCTCCACGTTCCACCGACGCCCTCCTCGGCACACACACTGCCTTTCTTCAGACACAGCGCCCACGGCCAGCACTAGACGCCACTGCTGACTATTTGCTTTCCTTCAGCTGGCCCTGCAGTAAAACCACAGAATACTTCTCCTGGACGTGTGCGTCTGTGAGGCCTTGTCAAAGCGTCTCTGCGGTTTGAATTCATGTTTCAGTCACGGCTCAGTCGGAGTTTTTAAAAGTCTCTCAGACACTGTAAAACATAACTATGTCAGAAATGAAAGGCTACACACTTTAACACTGGGGACAGAACTGGACCCGGACTTTCACGCACTGACATTTCGCTCCCACTGAGAAAAGAAACGAGCCTTTTCTCCTGAGTCATCGTTTCCATTTACAGATTTACTTCTGTTTTCCTCAGTTCATATTACATTTTTTTCCAGAACCAGCCCCTGTGTGTGTGTGGGTGTGTGTGCGTGTGAGAGTGTGTGTGGATGGTTTCCATCTGTAAGCCAGATTTAGAGGAAAAAAAATCTCAGGGATGCATGTGCACGGAGCAGCAAGGGAATAATAAAGAAGAGTTTCAGCAGTTTCTCTGTTTTAATTGAGGCTGTTAAAGAAGTATTTCAACAAGAAAAATGGGTTTTCACATTTGAAATGAACACATCGCTTTCTTCTGCTACACTAAAAAAGTACATTATTAATAAAGAAATGAACACATCGCTTTCTTCTGCTAAAAAAGTACATTATTAATAATTTCTTTAGAGAACTCTCAATATATCGTATTGATTCAAACACCTAGTGATTACTGAGTACTTTATAATAATTAGTTATTTAGTGTTAGTGTCTAGAAATGTTTGGAGTGAAGAACGTGGCGGTCGTCTCAAATGTCCGTCTCTGGGTTCTGTTGTGTTCTGTTGCTGTGTGTGAGGAACATGTTCTGATCATCTGAAGTGTCATCATCAAACAACATGTGCAGTTTTTGGTGTGTTTACAGTAGAACCACAGGAGGCCGAGCCCGTACACGTCTGTGAGCTGTTTAACCAACAGTGGACCAGCTTCCTCTACAGAGGATATACTCACTGGACCACGGCTGACTGGACATGACTGTGTATGATGGTAGACTTGATGATGTCACAGTGAGTCCAGGAAACCATGAATCAGGAGAAAGTGAGGTGTGGGCTGATAATTCACTGTGATGAATGATGTTATATCATGAGGCTGTAAAACTTCCTGTTAGGATTTCTGTTGTGTTCTGTACTGAATGTGTACTTGATGATTACTCTGGACAATCTACTGACCAAGCAACCTACGAGTCTACCTACCTACATTATCTAACAACCTACTGATTTGCCTAAAATCCTAGTGACCATCCAACCTACAGTATCTAATGACCGTCCTTCCAACTTAGCTACCACAGGTAGGTAAGGAGGTCATTTTTTGCCTCTACTTTCCTACCTACGTATCTGACGACCTAAATATACACATACATTTTTGCATATACACAGTTTTTAAACCTGACCCATCAACCTACTGACTACCTACGTACCTGTCTGAACACCTACCTACCCTTTATCCATCTATGCATTCTACAACTGCACCAGGCTGCTTTGATATTTCATTTCATTCATTCTTTAATTTCCCATTTTTGGGATCTATAAAGTACATGTGACCCCCAGCCCGTCCATGAATATCATGTCCTAGTTTGTTTGTTGGTTGTTGACTCAGTGCTCCACTCTGCTGGTTGAACTAAGTGACAAATGGAACTGTACACCTCAGTCTTCAACAACACAGCAGGGTCTAAACCTCACCTGAAACACAAGCCCTCAATATTTACACACAGATCGGTCACATGACGCAGCCCACAGCAGAAAAGACCATGTTTGTTTACAGCAGTAGAATTGTTGTCAAAATATGTTTGCTCAGATTTCACAGAGACATTGACCTTAAAACCCTTTAAATTCATAAAATGAGGCCCCGTCCCCACAGGTATAAGGAGCAGTACAGCCAACACAGCACCTTTGGGATTGGCATAGGAAAACAGTACCATTTATATGGAGTTCCATGGATAAAGGACCTGACTTGGATTTGCACATGATGTGCTCACAAACATTTGGAACCTTTTATGTCTCCCTTAAATTAACAGAACATATAAAACATACACATATAAACAAAACAACTTACTCTGCATTTATACCATCAATCCTACTCAGAAATCTACTGTTCCTTGCCAAAAGAGTGAGATTCAACTGCGATCCACTAGTACCTAGCTCAATCACTTTATAACCAGGGCAAAAATTTGTCCTCCTTCGAGCCGGATTTGAACCAGCGACCTAAGGATTTCCACACTCATCCACTACAGTCCTCCGCTCTACCAACTGAGCTATCGAAGGGACAACAGAACTCCCCTTATAGAAAAGAATATATCAGCTCTGTGACCAACTGAGCTATCGAAGGGACAACAGTTGCAGAAAAAATATATCAGCTCTGTTTAGAATCTTCTCTCCACAGTAGTGGTTTTCAAGGACTGGGTCAGGACCTGAAGAAGTTCTGATGACACTATCACAGTACTGCAGTACAGTGTTAAGTATTAGAAGTTGTAGTTACACAGAACTCACCACAATGTAAAACAGCAGCGCTAACGTTAGCTACAACAGTCCAACACTCCAGCACATGCCCAGTTTGAAAAGACTAACAACAACAAGACAACACATTTTTCAGACTCAGCTGTTCTCAGTGGACAGTGGACACAGTAAGATTGATGTGTCAGAAAGTTGGATGCACAAATAAATTGCAATTGGTGCAAATTCTAATAAACAGAAAACAAAAATAAAAAAAAACGTTTTGGTTTTCCTTCTTCACCTGGAAGACTATTCACTGATTCAGTCTAACATTCCTACTGAATAAAAATGTAATCCTGAATAAAAATGTAATTAATAATTATTACTATTAATAATAATAAATGTAATTTTAAATGTAATTTAAAGAATAATTTAATTAACTAATTAATTAATTAAAAATGTAATTGATTAATTCCCTCTTCACTAATCCATGGACATGTATCCCTGGAGTCAGATAAATATATGTATGAAGCTGTGTGTCTGAGTCTGTCGGCTCCACAGTGACAGCTCTACTTTTGACACATCTAAGTGATGAAACACAGCTGCTGCAGGAAGTGTGAAGTTCTGCTGGAGCTGAAGGTGTTGTGTCTGGAGGAGCCTTCAATGACTAACAACCAGGTTGTGGTCTTAATAATGAAGGCGGAGACCAGTGTCGGATAAAAATGGCTGAGAAACGCGTTGGAAGAGAGGAGGAAGTAGAACTGACTGACTGAGTCCCGGCAGGACTACAAATGTACCAGAGTAGTACGGGTTGTTTAGTAATAGTTAGTCAAATGAATGGGCCACGTACCTCCAGGAGACAGGTCTCCATCACTCTGCTCTCCAGAGTCTGAATCCATCCTTCCCTGCCGGACACTCACAGGCTGCACACGCTCTCTGATCTCTCCGTCTTCTCCTCCTTCCTTTCCCACTCCAGGTAGTTTTCACCGATCTTTTTAAAAAGACAGAGTTAAAGAAAATGATTTTTTTTTGTTGCTGGTGCGTTTAACTCCCCCTCCCCAGCCTGAATCACTGCAACTGTTGGAGGAATTCTGCTGTGGCTGTTCTATTTGCCAAGCAGATCTTCCCTTTGCTGTTCCCTTTACCCTCCTCTCCTCTCCTCCCCTGACTTCTCAGTTTCTCTTCTCAGCTACTTTTCTCATTTCCCAAGCTTCCACCCGTTGCTCACTCTTGGTCCGTCCCCTCTCTCTCCCTCTCTGCCTATGTCTCTCTCCCTCACAATCTCCCCTCCCTATGCTTCTCTACTTCGTCCCTCCTCCTTTTCCTCCTCCTCTCATTCCATCCCGTCACACTCGGTCCCTTCACACACTCTCCACTCTCACACTCATTCTCTACCTCTTTCTGTATGCTGCGAGTGCTGCCGCTTCCTCTCATTCACTCCCTCTCTCTGTCTCAGTGTGAGAGAGAGCTGCCTGTGTTCCAGCCCACAGTTATTCTTGACAACTTGAAATTCATCTCAAGCAATAAAAAAAAAATCCCGTGTCCACACAGTTTATTATGAAAACACACTCGTCCACTGTGCGGGCGGGTGTGTGTGAGAGAGAGAGAGGGAGAGAGAGAGAGACATTAATTGTACCTAAGGTAATGTTATACTGTCTGTTTGCATCATTAAGTGGAGAGGTCGCGTCTCACACCTGAATGCAAACACTGAGATGTTTGACACAGCAGTTCACCTCAAGTGGAAGAAATTATGTAATAAGACATTTGGTAGTTTTTAAGTGAGGACTCTGACACAGTGTTGTTGTAAAGGATATGTTGGAATTTCAGTAGGAAACATCAACAGACCTGTCCATATATCTGTCCAACCATTTCCACAAACTCCTCTGAGAAGATCTCAAAAGAGTTCCTACATCGGCTGGGAGATCTCACCACTCTGATGTGTCCTTGGTTTCCCACTAGAGGTGGTCATACTCATCAGTCAACAAAGAGCGGCAGACTCACCTCTGACCTGGTCTGACCCACATTTCATCCTTTCGCCAAGAAGAAACCACAGCTTCAGGTATGTCTTCAGTTTCTTAAACTACTATTACCAGCGCGCTGCAACATTACACAGGTTCTCACCGTACACACCAATGTACATGGTGAGCTGAGTTCACTTAATCAGTACAACACTAGCTTGTAACAGCAAAGTTTAGTCCATGTCAGTTGGGGATGTCGTCTTTACGTGACAGTGGGAGAAGAAAGGGGGCGACTGCAACAAGTGTCTGTCCATCAGAATCTTCATGGACCGGCTCAATAATGAGCCTGGTTTGGTTTGGACAGAAAGAACAGAGTGGACTGAGATGCTGGTTAAAAAAAGAAAGAGTTTGAGCCCAGTGTCACGTCCAGCTGCTCCACTGGGTCTGTGAGCAAAACACTGTCACAGACGATCGCAATCAAGGGTGAGTTAAGTGCCCCCCTGGGGTTTTTAGTTTTTTTCTTTATAGGTCCATCCAGACATGAGGGTGATGGGAGCTGCGGTTCTTTAACAACAACTGGGCATTTCATAATCGTTGAGCAGCATGTGGTCAAATATTTAAAGGATCAATCTGTCAATAACTGAAAGTTCAAATCCAAATCCACGCAAACAAGAACCTAAACCGTCCCCGTCTGTTGGGACGGACATATTTTCAGTTGTATGTACAATGCACGTACAATGCAGCTGCTAGTACTTTTTTAGAAACCAGAATACTGGTAGAGGAAAGTTAGAGATCATCTGGACATGTGCTGAAGTCAGGGGAACCCAAGAGAGACAGATGAGAAGAGAAGATGACCCTCCACACTGATCCACAGACAGGATCAAGAAGACCTTCTGCAGTGCTGTCTGTGAGACAGCATGAGGCTGGGACTCTGAGGACAGGGAGCAGGTGGTGGTGTGTAGTTGGTGCTCCGACAGCAGTTGCAGGCTATGCTGTCTCCCAGGTGTGGGGCTGACTGCTACTCAGCGTGAGACACTGGACACCAGATGGCACTAGCCTACCAGTCCACAGCCACAGGCCAGTACATTTAACTGACTCTGTTTCGGTGTAAATATACACACTACATATACACAACAAAGCACTGCAGAGAGGAAATGACCAGGAAGTAGAAATCAGTGAACCTGTGTTTTTCTGGTAGAGTAGATTAGTGTTTATTCATTCATTCAGAATTTTTTTTAGATTAGTGTTTATTCATTCATTCAGAAAAAAAATTAAAAATATATATTTTTAAACAGACATAAGAAATATATATATAATATCATTAACATTAATTTTAAATTTTTATTTGCGATAATAATAATTAGTAGTAGTAGTAGTAATAATAATAATAATAACAGATCCACCTGACTGACTGTTGTTCCATTCAGATCATAAAATAAATGCTTTATTAAAACGCCTGTGGTGTTCAGGAAAGTAGGACATAAGTGATTTTTGTCGTGTTGGGGCGCAAGAAATCCACATAATGATACTCGGGTAAGGGATTGATGCAGCCTTTTGCGTGGATTCTTCCGTGCCAGGATTGGCAGGGAAGAACAATGGCAAAAGTCTGCATCCCGACGAGGATGGGATTCGAACCCACGCGTGCAGAGCACAATGGATTAGCAGTCCATCGCCTTAACCACTCGGCCACCTCGTCCCGTGGCGTGCAAGGTTTCGAATGGAAATGTTATTACCCACAATGCATTTCGACATTGCACTACACACCTGGAAATTATATTCGCCGTTTAAAGAAACGTTGTTACGACGTCACACAATTAAATACAGTGCACTAGTTACCGATAATGTCGATTTAAATTAAACCTTTAACGATACACCTAACATTTAGGACGATGCAAACTAAAAGACAAAAACATTAAATGACATTAAATATAATTCAATAATTTACGACTTTTTTTACGAATACTCACATCTTAACCATCTCCATCAGCAGTCCACACCAGCCTGATTCTGATAGTGACAGCCGTATATAAAGTTCCAAGTTGAAAAGTTAAACTTCGCCTTCGGTTCTGTTTTTGTTTTGGCTTTTTTCGCGCCTATAAGTTTGTTTAGCTTCCGTCCCGCACCTGCGCAGTAACATAGACTAGTCCATTTTTCTAGGATACGGGGAAGTTAGAGGGGGTATTCTAAATGCTTTAAATGGCAAAGACGCAAAAATTACATAATTAATCACATGATAATGACAAATTATGTGAGGACCAAGTTTGTGAATTTTTCTATGACATCATGATAGTTTAACAAAAATACTGTATTCGGTGCTATAGCTAAATGCTAACGGGCCGATAAATTAATACCCATAAAAATGGTAAAGGTGAAAAGCCGCCAAGTGTAAATAGTCAGGAAAGTTAAGAACACTCGTGTAGTGTTATAGTGCCCTCTGCTGAACAGATGTAGCAAATGCGAGGAGGCTTTCAAATAAAACAGTTTTAAGTCTCAGATCTTCTGTAATATTTAAAGATGTCGTGTTTTTTTATTATAACAAATGTGAATACTGTTTTAAAATAATTTTATTTAATACATGTCGTATTTACTTTTTTATACACTGTTAATACCTGTAATCGAGTAGTTTGCCATTGGAATAAAATAGAACTGAATAGAAAACCATATAAAAGCAAATAACCGGTTACAAATTGGTAATAGAAAACCATATAAAAGCAAATAACTAAAAATTTGCACCTGATGTTTTGTTGTATTCAAGCTACATGTAAAGATAATACAACACAAAAATGCAAAATACCACAGTAAAAGTAAAACAATTGTGCATATAACTCAAGGTGTGATACAGTTTTCACATATAAAAAAATACATTGAGATGACCCAGCACGCTCTGTTTAAATGTACTCAAAAAGAAAAACAACATAACTCAGTTAGGAGTTAAACCAAAAAAGAAAAGAAAATACTACAGTAAAATAAGTAACAGGCATCTTACCCAAAATATCCCAGTGTTTGTTCCTTCACTCCCTAGACAGTTTCTCAGTCCATCATCACATTTAAAGTAAAGAAATTCAGGCTTTTAAAAAAGATTGGTTTGTAGCGTCATTATCAACAGCGTGCTGCCAATTACCTTAGCTCACTGTGAGTAAAGGGCTTTTGGCGCCCCCTGGTGTAACCCAACCTTATTTAACAGGTGTATTTGTGCAGAGGATCAGCCTTTGAGTGAATCCCTTTCTTCCTGGGTAAGAAAGTCATGCTGAGGTGCTGGGCCTCCTGCTCCTCCTCCACCGGCTGCTGGGACAGGTTGTTGGTCTTTGGCAGACTGTCCAGGGTCAGGCCCTGATGGCAGCAAACACAAAACTGAGAGAGCAGCGTCACCAGGATGGATTTCATCATCACCATGGCTATGTGTTTGCCAACGCAGGAGCGGGGGCCTGAACCGAAAGGCTGGAAGAATCGAAGAGGAGTCTGAAGAAGAACAGACATGAGAGGTGCTTGAAGGTTTTTGAAGAAAATAAAAATCATTATCTGCTTTCAAATCATTCAGACAGCTCACCTTTCTTTCAAAGTTCTCCAGGCTGAATTCATTGGGTTTGCAGAACAGGTCCGTCCGGTGCATGCGACCCGTGTTCAGAATGATATTCGTGCCCTTCGGTACCTGGTACCCTTCTATGATGTCATCAGACAGAGCTCGGCGCATGGTGAAGTCCACCACGGGCTGAAATCGCAAGCACTCATTGATGAAGGTCTCCAGAACCTGCAGCTTTGGAAGATCTCTGTTCCTCAGGTTTCTCTCACCTGTAGAGGTTTATTTACACAAAAGACAGTTTTTTGAGGTTTAAGATTTAGTTTGGATGTAGGATTAGGATTAGGGGTTGGATTATGGTAAGGATAAAGATAAGACAAAAATTTGAAATGGTTAATGTTAGGGTAAGATGTTAGGAAATGAATTAATCTATGTCTATGTGATGTTAGGAAATGAATTAATCTATGTCTACGTGAATGAAACTGTGCGTTTGTATGTGCGTGTGTGTGTGTGTGTCAAGGCCCCTCCTCACCTACAACGGTGTCGATCTCCTGCAGCAGCTTCAGCTCCACGTCTGGATGCTGCTTGAGGAGCAGCAGCATGAAGAACAGACTGATGGACAGAGTATCAGGGGCTGCGATCACCATCTCCAACACACACTGGGTCACATCCTCACCAGACAGCTCACCTCGACACACTGGGTCACATCCTCACCAGACAGTTCACCTCGGGTCTGCACGCACACAGAGTTGATCAAGCTAACCTGGCTATAGATATGAACAGTTATCTAAAATCTTAAACCAACCTGTGCAAATATGAGCTCTGTGGTGAAGTCGATGTCGTCCAGCTTTTCCGCGTGCTCCACTTCCCTCCTTTTCTGTTCCACCAGCTCTCCAATAGAACGCTGCAGCTCCTGGCTGTGGGGTGACATCACAGCAGTCGGTCAGAAGAACAGAATCCCTGAGAAAGGACGCTAACGAGAAGGGAACTCACGCAGCTCTCTGGTGTCTCTGGTGAATCCAGTCCAGTTTGAAGTAGACGTCAGGTTTGATCAGAACGCTCTGCCAGGTTTCAAAGTACTGCTGGATTTTCACCAGCAACTCTTTCTCTGCACACATGAAAAAAGTAAACATTACAGCACCACCTCGTCACAGAGACCTGTCTGAACTGGTTGTAGTCATAGTCCATAGAGGACTTTTTGACTCACCGTTGACAGGCACACCCAGGAAGAGTCTGTTGGAGATGTCCACAACGGTGCAGCGCAGCAAGCCGAGGACGTCCACATGATCCAGGTCATCCAGGTCGTCCAGGTGAGTCTGCGTAGAGGAGACACAGACGTCCAACGTCCCTTGTAGACCTGGACCAGTCAGAGCTGACACAGAAATGATACAATATTTTAATTACATAACTGACTCAGACCTCAAAATGACATTTTCGTCTCTGTATTTCAGATTTGACTGTGCAGTAGAATCAAAGTGACTGATGGAGACAGATGATGATCGACGGTGGTAACTGTCGTCTCTAAATTCTCACCTTTACTGAAATAGGTTCTGATCTTCTTCCACAGAACCACGTTGTTGTTGAAGATGAGTCCCCTCTCGTGCATCCCCAGGCACTTCAGTCCCTGCTTGCTCCCAAAACGTGAACAATAGTTCCCGCTCCTGAGAACCTGGTGCACCACCGACGGCCTTACAGACAAAGAGGAAGTCTTCAGCTGTGCTGTGACTTAATGTCTACTATTTTAATTATTAATTAATTCATTATTTTATGTCCCAGAACCTACTGAACCAACCTGCTGACTATTAGCGTCTCCTCTCCATTGATCCACACTCTGACGATGTCTCCATACTTGTTGTTGTAGTAGTTACTGGCTGTGCCGATGCCGGTCCAGATGAATCTGACATATGACAGCAGTGGACCCAAACCCAGACAGAAATATGGTCCTGTTGCAGAGAAAATCTTTTTTTTAAATTTCTTTCTAACTGACAGAGATTAAAAAAAACAGCAGAATCCAGACCAGTTCGTACCTGGAACAGCGATCTTCTCTGTGTGACTCCAGGCCACCAGCAGGAGGCAGATAAGCAGGACTAAGGTTCTGGTGGCTGCCGTGAAGACTGAACATGGCACCGCGGTGACATTGGGGGACACAGATACCAGTTCTGATGTCATGGTGTCCAAACCTACAGGTGACATCGGCAAGTTACAACCGGGGATGTGATCCATTAGGACTAAGACAGGCTGCGGGGAGCGGTTCTGAGGAGCTGGAGCCGCCTGCTCAGTCTGCTCCTCTTTATAAGCAGCACAGCTGGTGAGCAGCCAGGTCAGGGAGATGGAACCGCCACAACAGTGGAGCAGAAAGGTAAACAATTCCCTTCCAACCTTGAGGTTGTTGGATCGGGGCCAGCACCCTTGAAGGAACCTGTCTTTGTTCCACAGTGACACGTTGTCGGACAAGCTGTGTTTGATAGTTGATGATGAGAAAAACTTCTCCGTCTGTCGCCTTCATCTTCAAACATCAAACACATGAGCGAAACATCATACAGTACAACAAACTGGAGGCTGAGATCAAAACACCAGCCGTCTGGATCAGGACCATGATGGGTCAGGACAGATTATTGTCTGTGCTCAGACCAAGGAATTTTGAGAAATTTGGAGTTTCAGGCATTTTTCCCATACCATTGTTTCCCAAAGACTGGGTTGCGGCCCTCAGGTGGGTCGCAAGAGATTTTTTTTGTGGGTTATCTCGCATCATGTATCCCAGGATTTTACGAATAATGTCTATTGACCTGGGTCGTGAAGGTATGTGACTTTTAAAATATGGGTCCCCAAAAAAAAAGTGCCATAAATACATACCTACATATAAATAAAATACATATTCAAGATTCAGCTGATTATGATTTTTAACACATTTTACTACATGAGAATGAGGTCCTGTGTCTTTCCAATAATTCACTTATCGTTGATCTGATACATCGTCAATACACCTGTTGATGTTCACACACACTGTGGGAGATCAAAATACCACATCATCCACTGGTGGCTTCAACCTCTGGTCAGTGGCCAGGCCTACGTCAGACCAGCATGACTGAGACGGACAGTTTGACTGACACAACAGTCAGATGAACTGTTCAGGACTGTAGACTGATAAATATTGTTGAAGACAATGACTAATTCCATCAATTGATTTAGTCACAAATATAATCAGGTGTGAAACACTGACATCTACCTGCTGATATCGGTACTGTCTGTTCCAGTGATGAACAGAAAATGTGACATTTTGACTGATCTGGATTAATCATGACTAATCCATAGTCTATTGGCAGAGGTCAGTGAGGACGGACAGTGTGAGTGTGAAGACTCACTCATGGCTGCAGCAGATGACCATGGAGTGTTCTCTGCTGCTGCTGATGTTTCCTCCTCTGGATGCAGCTGCAGACACATGAAAGAGCTCCTTATCTCGCCCGTCTCTGTTTCAATGGGTGGGACAGTGATGATGACCTGCGTGTCCTCCTCCACCGTGTCCTCCCTGCTGCAGCCTTGTCTCTCAGATTATTGACCTTTTTGTCTGTTGCCAAGCCAAGAGACTAGATACCAGTTATAATTTAATTTTGCCCTTGAGGGAACATTTCAATTAATTCATTTTCATTTATTTAAATTATAAAAAAGCTTTAGTTGAATTAGAAATAATCACTGGAGAAGAAAGAAAAGAAAAATATCGATATAGTATTGTGAGAGAAATATGGTGATATTTCAGTGTATCGATATTTTCCTAATAAACAGTCAGTCTAATGAGGGTCAGGTGGTTTGAATTCTCTGCCGTGTTTGGATCGTATTCGCATTTGACTTTAACTCCTGTTGATGAATCACTGTGATCCTCTGTAACTGTAAACTACAGCACAGTGACAGTACTATGTAGAATGTACTGGACCTGTACCACTACGACCGTCTGACTCCGTCATCCACAGAGTGAGACGGTACAAGACTCAGCATTTATCACCACGGCCGGGACATGGAGAACCCTGGTCGTATGGACATGTGACGCACATCCCCACCCTGGCTAGACGTCTGTGAGACACAGCGGCAGCAGCTATCAGAGTGGGTGTGGATCCACTGCTCCTGTCAAAACACAGCACACACCCCCCTCCACTGTATCGACCTTAACACATTCAGCAGAACAGCTGTTTAGTCGGCA